TACTCACTCATCACAGGGTAAACAGCGCATAGCAGGAAGGTAAATAGCCTGTGAGCGCTTTACACACACACACACACACACAGGTGATGGCAGCTGGGGCGCACTGACAGAGGCGAGGCTGCCGGACACTGGCGCCACCGGGCCCTCTGACCACCACCAGTAGGCAGCAACGGGTGAAGTGTCTTGCCCAAGGACACAACGACCGAGACTGTCTGAGCCGAGGCTCGAACCGGCAACCGTCCGATTACAAGACGAACTTCCAACTCTTGAGCCACGATCGCCGGTAGACTCTGCATCCACGGCTATTGTTTTTGACTATTCTCCCGTTAGCTCGCCATCCTCCTCCGGTAACGTGCAGCTGCCGACTCTCACCAGTTTAGTTAGTGCTTATTTTTCTTTCGCCTCGCTTAGATCCCACCTTCCTTACGTCTGATTGGACAATAGGTTTACATCACCCAATGGGATAGAAGAAAATACAAGATTGACAAGTCAAAATGAAGTCGTAAAACAACTTGCAGCAAATACAAAGTTTTCCTTGTTTCCCATTAGAAAACAAACCTTTGGTTTTCTTGTAACTTTTAACTCCGTGAACACTTAAATTATGATTGACTTCTATTTATTGTGATTTTAAACACGTTTTTAATGCATTTGAATTCTTTTTTTGTTTTTTAAACACATGTGAAATATTTACAATAAAGTCTTTACATGACAATGTTTACCTTTTAACCTGTAGGGTCTAAAATAGATATTTGAGACCAGGCTACACTAATAATCCTGGTAACAGATATGAATTTACCGTAAATCCTGGACTACAGAGCGCACCTGATTAAAAGCTGCATGCTCTAATTGTAGGAAGAAAATCAATTTTGTACTTGTACAGGCCGCACTGTATGCGTTTCACCTGTAATATGAGATATCTACACAGAAATATTACACGTGAGGATTTTTAATGTTTAATTTAATCCGTAAGGTAACATAAACATGGTAACAAGTACAAGTACAAGCTGCAGTGTTCACAGTGTGGGGGTAAAGTAGCGGCTTATGACCCGAAAACTACGGTATTTGTGTTGATCAAACTGTAACACTAAAATGACATCACCTTGGTTGAGTAGGTTATGACATTTATAAAATAAAAAAATGACAAAGTGAAACAAAGATTTCATTCCAGGCTCGATTCAGTCCCTCCCTCCACGGAGAGCTGGGATGTCTGGCCCACGTCTGCCCTGACTGTGATGCACCTCTCAGGCAAAGAATTCACTGTGTGTGGATATTCAGATTGCTCATAATAAGCCTGCTTATTATGAATAAAAGTCATGCAGGTCTCAAAAAAGAAGGGAAACAAAGAGACACGTTAACATGATGGAAATGAAAAGCAAAACATTTCAATAATGAGAAAGTTTTATGAATGAATAAAACAGCAAAAACAAGGATTAACAAATTAGTCTAATAAATAAGCAAAAGTAGAAAAAAAAGAGCTTCAACAAAACGTTCCCAGTGTGAAGCAGGAAGCTGCTGGGAGGCTGACCTCAGTGACGTTTTGGCAGGATGTGGCACCAAAAGCTTTTGAAAACAATAACTTTTTAAAGGGAACAGTTCTGTATTTCACAGGTGCAGATGAGCTTTGTTGTGTTGTGTGTGTGTGTGTGTGTGTGGACACTTTCTATGTGTCTGTTTGGTTGATATTTATACCTTATTGGAAAATGTTTCAATTGCCTTTAAGCAGCCGGAAGGAAAGTTCGTCCTTATGTGTGGATGAATTTATGTTTGGATTGCATCAGTAGATGGCGCTAAAACCACAGAGCTCACTCACCTGCAGCTGAAGAGAATATCCTCCTGAGAACAAGGACATTTCTGTCCTCTGTAATGGAAATTTGTTTTTGGTCTATATCCAAGTCCGATGCACTTAGCAGACGACATCCTGGGCTTACCACTGACATCTGGTGTGTTTGGGTGGTAAACAGGAAGAAAATCACACAAAAGTTAAACTCTTTGTTCCCGGATCCTCAGGAGGAAATATTGAGGAGCTCCATCTCTCCTGTCTGATCAGATGATGTTCTCAGTTCCACAGTTTAGTTTTCACTTCATATAGACAGATGTTTGTCTTTCTGACATTCAGTCCAATGAATTTAAATAACCAGCTGTAGACATGCCAGTAAGTGTTGAGGGGCACCAGTCATATAAGCTGCCATACACTGGTTGTGCATATGTGTGATATGTACATGACACAGCTGGAAAAACAAATGTTGGTGTGAGCATGTAAACATCAGTGATCATCAGAGCACACCCTGAAACCTTTTATTAGCATCCACATGTTACCCTAATGACCCCTCTGCACAGAAACAGACACAGCACACCTGGGCAGTGACCTGTAGGAGCAGCTTGAGGTTTCTGAATATCTGAAAGGGTTTGCTGGGTTTCAACGACTCATTAAGAAACTGAAAATTCACTTTTTCATGGGTTTACAAGTGTGGTGGTCCCACTCTGGGCAGGGACACAACTGGCCCAAAGATCCACTTTACCCACTATTAAATACTTGTTTGAAAACAAATAATTACAATAAAACTTCTGAAGCTAAGTGAAACTGTATATAGCAGATGTACATGAAGGTCCTTCACCACTGCAGCTTCTGCTTATATGTCTGACCTACACACACACATGCATATATGTCCCTTATTTAAGAATCTCTGGGTTCCTACAAATGAAGAATCTCGATACATAATTACTAAAGTGTTCCTGGATCAAATCAAATCACTTTTATTGTCACATCACATGTGCAGGTACATTGGTACAGCACATGTGAGTGAAATTCTTGTGTGCGAGCTTCACAAGCAACAGAGTTGTGCAAAATACAAGAATGTAAACAAGCAAAATACAAGAATGTAAACAAGCAAAATACAAGAATGTAAACAAGCAAAATACAAGAATGGCTACATCTGAAACTAATAAATATATGTACAATATATAATATATAATACAATATATAATAGTATATGCAGAGAACGCGTTCACGTAATGATTCATCAGTTAGATCAGATGTAATTATCTACAGATGACTCACTGAAAGAGGTTGGTAGCCTCGTTAATCACAAACAGGGACACGCAGCTCTGCAGGATTCGTGAGTGTTTATTTACGGTGCCCAGCTCACAGCTCCGCCCTGCTCTCCACCCTCCTCTGGGCCCCAGCAGCTACTCAAATAGGAAAGGAATGATGGAGGGTCATCTGTGGGGGCCACACCCAAACCCGCTGCTCCACCCCTCCCCTGCAGCTGAGCCACAAACCACACCTCGCCACAGTGCAGTTGTGAAACAGGAATGCTACACAATACAAATCCAACAAGGTGGCACCTCCAAAGTGGCCACAGAATTAGTCATATGATCAGTCAGCTCTGCTAGTGTTGAACAAGGGGCAGTTAAGGATTACTTATCGGTGTTCCTGTAGAGAAATTTGGGTGGAGGACATTTATTTATTTATTGGAGCAACGACAAGTAACAGCAAGCTGTCCAGTGCTGGATCCTCTATAGAATAAAACTATTTATCTGATTCAAATTGTTGTTCTCAGCAGTCGAGTTAGACATGAACAAATGAGCACAGTAACATCAAATATCCATTAACTGCTTTGTTTTATCCCATTTTGCTTTGTCACAATCAGCATCGCAGCGGCACACAGTCGCTCCCAGACACGGCCTGCATCCACTCACGTCCACATCCGCTCTTTGTTATGTTTCAAGTGAAGAGTGAGCGGATTTCTCCCCACTGTGACTCAGAAACTCAGAAGCAAACGAACTCTCACCTGTGTTAATCTTCTCACTCTTGCTAATTATTTAATCGAACGAGGCATTCGCGTATCCCTCACACTCGGGACGCAGCCCAGTCTCATGACATGAACATGAACCAAAGTCGGTAAACAGCTTCTGTTTTTGTGTATTTGCCTCCTGAAAATGCAGCTTATAGTCAAATCTCATCAGTTATCACTTACTTCCTAAACAATGGCAGTGCTTATCTTAAACCCACTAAATGCTGACTGAATGCAGCAAGTAGGTTTCTCTGAGAGCGACCTTGGCAACTCTTATATGGTCCTAATGGTCTGGAGTAATGGGCTTAATGACAGTATCTGTGAAAGGAAGGAAAGTATGACATCATTACTCGTACACGGCGGCGCTTAAGATAAGTACTGCCTGGTTACAGTAAAGAAGTCTTATGAATGTTTATGCAGTTTTGTGCTGACATTATGGCGTCACATCTGACTGACAGCAGCTGATATCCACAGTGAACGATCCTTTGGTGCTGTGGGAACGGGACCGCTGGTCAGGTCTGAGCTCGCTTCTCCAGCCACATCACCTCGCCACAGTAACATAGCTTCACATTAGGATGATGTTTAAAAATGTATTTCAATGATCTGAGCCTTATCAGTTAATAAGAAGAAGAAGAAGAACCTTGGTTGGTGGTTATTATCTATCAAATCGATGATGTCTTTTTGTCTTTGTGAGTTTCTATAGATAATTTAACTGCATTAATGTTTCATATGTGTAGATGTTTTGTTGCACGTATTTCTGTCTTTCAGTTCTGCTCACTTGCTTCTGATTTGTTGATTTCATGTAACCTGTCAGGTACTCTGCAGAAACTTAGCCTGTGCGGCTAATTAAAAACAGGAAAACACAGATTATAAAAAACAACATTATTTTATTTTTCTTCTCAAAATATACAAAATGTTATCTGATCAGGGGAAGCATCACAGATACAAATAAACACATAAAACACACACAAACAAATCTGTATATCGGAAAAGTATCGGAAATGATGCTGTCTCCACTTTACATGCGGCCACACTTCAAACTATTAAAAACTGTTTGTCTTCAGTGCTACTATGAAGAAACTCCACCTGACATGCTCACTTGTATATTTATCAATTTGTGGACTTTTTCAGACTTTAAACTTTGAACCCTGACATCTTTACAGCAGGAGAAACCAGAGCTGTGGTGGCATTTAAACCCAGGACAAAGGAGATTCAAAGGAGTTTCTTCTGAGCGATCCTCACTCCGATCTCAAAGACCTCTCAGTGAATGAACGTATTCTTTAAATAATCCACAAGGGGAAACCGGCTCCTTCTTCAGGTTCTTGTGGCCTTTTCAACTAGACGTAGTTGGACTTGGAGTGATTGGTAGAAAGAAAGTGGCTGGAGCTCATGGACACTGGAGGGTTTGTCCTCCAGCATCTCCGACAGCTCAGGAAAGCACCACCGGCCGCAGTGAGGAGTCCACCAACCCAGCTCACAAACACAGCATTACCAAACTCAGGTCTGCCAAAAAGAGCAGAGCAACATTAATGTAGCACACTGCATGTTTATTTACAATGTGTATGCATACGTGTGTGTGTGTGTCTTGATGGCAGTACCTAAACAGCTTGTGTCCACTGTAAGAAAGAACCATGTTGACAAACCAGGAGGTGATGATGATGGTCAACACGCCTAATGAAAGAAAACATCTTTGATCATTGCAGCACTCATGGATCCTGACCCACCTGTTCACTACAATAACAGCCGCTCTCAGCTGCTAACTTCATTATGACTTCTGTCTTCAGTCTGAGCACAGGCTTTGGACACACCTGAAAGTATGAACGTGATTCCTCCGATCATCGCTATCATGGATTTGCTCTTTGGCACACCGTCCATGAAGTGGGTGCACTTCATCCCCACTGTGGAGATGAGTACAGCCAGAGCAGAGAGGAGGAGGCTGACCGGCAGCACTGCCCTGGTGACCTGAATCTCAGCTGCGGCGAACAGAAGCACAAATATCGGTAAGAAATCGTAGCTTTATTACACCGGTGAGAGAAAGAGATTTGGTTTGTTCTCTGATGGCTCGGTGGCTAAAATCCAAAGAAGTAACTGTAACTATATTTACTTTACCCAAAAAGCAGCGTCTTGCTTTGAGATGATTGTAGGTGCGATGCAAACTTACTCGGCATTTTCAGGATGGACTGATAAATTTCACAGGTCATTCTGTCTTGAACACCAGCGCAGGACATCCATAAGCCCTCATAGGAGCGGTGCTTGCCCTGGACCAGCTTCTTCCAGTCCACCATAACAGTGGCGGCAACAGTGGCAGCGACTCCGACCAGAGAGAGAAAAAAGCCGAGGAGCTGCAGTCCGGACGCGGCCATGTTATCCAGCAGATTAATAAGTCCTGAGACTTGTTGTGAGACGGAGAACAGTGATGAGCAGCCGCTGAAGTCAGTAGTTGCTGATTTAAAGGAGTCCCTCCCTCGTAGTTGCTCAGACCTTTGTGCGAGCGCGCTGCTGCCTCCTGTTTTTAAAGTGTAAGGGTGAGGCCCCCTTTTTCCTTCCACAGCCTTTGATGGGAAGAACTTTTTCCTGGAAGTGGTATCGGGCTAATTAAGTGATGACTGGATCACACCGACTATTCTAAAGAAGAGTCGCTTCAACATCACGTGGCCTTTGCAGTTCTTTGCTTAGGCTCCTATCAAAATAAGCCAAATGGGAAATCAGTTCACGATTTCTTTATTATCTTCTTTTAAATAATTCAGAAAGTCCCTTTTTAATAGTTCAGTTGTTTCTTTTTCAAACAAACAATAAAAACGGTCTTTGGAAGACACCTCCTGATGTCTGTCTTAACTTTTGAGCCTACAAATCTGCAGAAATGTAATATTAGCCTACATGATCCCCTAATTTGTTGTGATGATGATCACCTAATGTGTACCCTGCATGTGCCACTACTCTGGACATCAGGGCAGTGACTCTCTGATCCAGTTTAATCTACGCAGACACAGTTAGCGCCGTATGATCAGCCCTGACCCGAACAGTCTGCAGGTCAGGTTGCTGGACGCAGTTTCTGAGCTGTCACGGATGAATTGGCCGATTAGTCATGTTGACAGGAAAAGCTTTGGCTAATTCTCATTGCAGCCGCTCAGAGAGTCACAATAGTGTTGTTTCTCTTTTTGGGTTTGTAACATGTATTTGCATTGAAAGCCTGCTAGCCTGTAATCACTGGATCACTGGACTTTTCCATGTTTTGTAAGGATGTGACTTTCAGATGCTGCTGATCTCTGTTGAGGCTTGTGATTTGTCCTCTACTTGTTTTTTAAGGGCAGACCTCACCAAGCTGACATTTTGGCCGGTGTTCCCCTAAAAGCTCTTTGGGGATGTCAAACTGTTTCCTTTGACATTTTTTTATAGATTTAACTAAAAACAGACAAATGATTTGTTTTCTTTAAAGAGACGATACTAACTTTGAGGCACAATTGAAAATTGCTTGTTTGCTAAGTCGGGAGAAACTTTGCTCCAGATCACTTTAAGAAATTGCAAGAATGCGTCTTTGGGTGCCAAATATACAGGAATGAAGGATGTCTCAAGGTCTTTGCACAGCGCTGTTCTTGAGTCCCAAACATCCGTTAAAGAAGGTCTTTGAAGCAAACGCTGACTGTCAGCATCCTCATTGTGACTCTTCCTTTGTGATGCACAGCAGCAGGCTCGTGCTTACGTGAACAAACTCTTTATTTTTCCTTTGACAGTTACTAAATTATTCGAGCATATTTGGTTCACAGGATACGTGTTTGTAAACACGTCGCCTGCATCGCCTGCTAGATTGGCTCAGGCTCCGCCCTTTCCTGAAATATGGCTTCATCAAAACATTTTGCTGCAATTCAAGTCCCAGATTTCATCTGACTTTGCCTTAATTACATCACGTCTGTCCTTCCTTTAGCACTTGGGTTATTTATTAATTAACTTATTTAAAGTCTGCTTAGGTCATTGTTTATTTACAAGGAAATAAAGGTCACTGGGGAGGGAGCAGATGGTTGGTGACAATATCAGGAAACCCGCTTTTTTGTACGTTAAGTATCTGAATTGGCTTCAGCACAACACAGAAGCCTGAAGTGAAACTGTCTGATGAGAAGCCGGCTTCCTTCTATTCTCACAGCAAGTTGAAAGCATATGCCAGCCTGAAGAATAATATGTCATCTTTCATCTAAGCACACGTTATTCCCACTATAATAATACTGTGTTTGTCAGCCTTACTCCATACGAGCAGGGTTTAATATGAATGCAGTCTAAAGCTGATGGTTTGTAACTGTGCAGTTAAATATGTGCCATTCAGCAACAGTAGCAGGTTCCAGTGTGTGCTGTGTGTGCAACAAGTGTCCCTAAAAGTAAGAAACGTACAGGTCCATGCTTACTTGTCAGAAAAGCTCTGACTGTTTGGCGCACTGTCAGAAGACCTTCAGGAGTGTCCTGTGGTGCCTGTGCAGTTGGCAGCAGACCCTTTGAATCCAGCTGGTTAAAGTTTAAAACATCCTGACATCAATGCGAAATCCCTGCATGGTCACAGGACTTTGCATAGATTCACTGAGTCTGAAAATAAGTGTTTGTGGCCAGATCTCAATGCTCAAATGTAGCAGCTTCTGTGTTTCAGAGGTCTAATATGCATCTGTCACACTGGAAATTAAAGGTCAGCACTGAGAGTGTACTGAATGAAAAAAAAAAGATTTATGAACTTATAAAGTCACAAGATAAACAATTTTTGGGATTTAGGTTTTATTGATCCAGCGAACAGAAAGAAATCCTGGCTATGTCAGAGCCATGCCCCCATCCTCTGGTTTGTCTGGATCCTCCTCCATCATTTGTACAGTTTAAATATTTGCTCAATTCTAACTAAGGTGGTGCAAAATGTCTTGAAAAAGTTCAAACAGGAGCATCAAAGGCTGGAAAAGTAAGCAGCACTAAAAACAGACAATTAGGGGAACATTTGAATCCCAAAGAGCTTTGGGCTTCTGTAATGTTGCTTGGACCCTTCCTGAGAAGTTTGTGCTGGGATGTGACTCACTGTCCTCCGCTGTTGCCATGGGAACAGTGGTCTGTGACCAGCATCGTGCTCTGGGGCTGTTCTGCTGCCAGTAACGCTGGTGTTGCACAAAGTAGATGATGGAGGAGGACCAACTCCAAATTCAACTTCACCTCTAATCAACAGCTAGACGGCAGAAACTTGGGGACAACTGGGTGTCCCAATAGGACAATGGTCCCAAACACACATCCAAACTAGTGTTATGTTCTTGGAGTGAATATAACGCAACAAGAAAAGTGACCTCCTACTCACACACACCACCCAAGAGCAAAAACAGAGTACCTTCCAAAGTGCTATGCAGCCATTTACGTTGGCAGCGAGCAAACAAAAAGAATAACAAACAAAAGATCCCTGAAGGGCCCGAAGCTTCCCTGTGAAAACAACAACCAAAAGACAACTTTGCCCAAACAGGAGAAAACTGACCCGTACCAGGCTGCTGCAATATAGACACAGTGACAGAGGTACACAAACGCTACTTTACAAATCTATTTACAACAGCAATGAACACACACACACACACACACACACACCAGCTTACACTCACTGATACCAATTTGATACCAACTGATAAAAGGTTTTAGGCAAAGACCGTCTAAGTAATCAGACCCACAAGTGGTTTATTGGGTGGTGGCTTGGAGCATGGCTGTTGTTAAATACTGCGTGATCAGCCAATTATCCAATTGCAGAGCAGGAATAATTCCACTCAACGACCCAGCCGGCACTGGACTCCAGTAAGACACATCCAGGTGTCCACACCTGAGAGAGAGGAGAGAAAAACCCCACAGCCATCCTCTGGTGAGAGGAGTCACACACACACATGGCCTACGTGATCTTGGGTCATAACACCAGTTTTTGGATAAAGCAGGCAAACTCAAGCTTCTGGAATGAAATCTAAACATGGTCTTTTCTCACTCTTACAGACGAGCTTTTCAACTTGAACAGTGATAAACAGTAACCTTTACAAAAGGTCGAGCTTACATAAAAGGCAAATAAAAATTCACTGTCACTGAGGGAAAAAAGCTCAATTTTATCACACAGCGACATTCCCTGGAATTACTTCCCGAACAAAGAAAGCAGCACTTATTTTGATTGTTATCGAATTCCTGCAGGCTGTGATTGTTTCCTCTAACAAGTAAAAGTGTTTGTTTGGATGGGAAAAGTCTCAGAAGCAGAAATGCTGTGTTTCACCGGCACACTTTAGGCTGTTTTTCTTGGGATAACAAAATCCTCTGAGATCAGTTTTCTGTTAATGACCTCATTTCCAGCACCTTGTTGTTGAGCAGTGTTGGGGCATTAGTGCTCTGTGTAACATGATAGTAAGTTTTTAAAGCTGCTATATCTTTCTTTAATTTAAATATATATCTATACTTCTTTTAAGCACCATTGTGTCTTTAATGCGATTCTTTATAATCTGATTTGCCGTTTGTGCCCGAGCTGGCCAAACCAGTTTACACTCTTGAGTTTTCTATTCTGTATCAAGCACACGGTGAGATGTGTGAGCCCAAAACGTGAAAAGCTGACAGGAGCATGCTTCAAAGTAAACTGGTGCAGTGAACAGAAAAGTCCCTGAACCCTGAGTGGACTAAACTGCCAGATTAAAGAGTTCAGTCGGTAATTAGCGCAGCTGATCAGAAATACTGCAGGCTTCGCTTCCCGTGAAAAAGCAAAGCACCTGCCAAATATCAGTAAACATAGGTTATAACTTTTGATTTAATGGAAAGATTCAAGGATTTCCTTGCAAATACTGAATAATGCAGGCCTTTATCACACAAAGGGAGGAAGCGGGCATCTGGGAGGAGCTACGCTGTAAACTCGTTTCTGAGAAAAGCAGTGAGCCACCAACAACATGACAGCCAAATGTTTTCAACGTGAGCTGCTGGGAGAGAGGAGCAGGAACTGTGGGAGAAAGTTGAACTCGTTCCCTGATTCATTAAGAATGTGAAGTAGCAGTGCACTACACGGGAATTCTTAAAGAAGCCAACACCTGTTCCAAGAAGATGGGTGACTAAACCAGCCTTTTTTCCACAGCCACAGTCAGACACATGAAGATCAGTGCCACGCTCAAAATCAGGCCACAGTATGTGAGTGAGACGCCATCTAGTGGCATCACTGAGCAAGACGAGGTGCAGGAGGCACCGAGAACACATTGAGACTGAGGTTTACGGGTTTACAGGGGGACCCGGCAAAATCACCGGATATGTCCGTACGTATTTATGTATAGGTTCAAGGTTCAAGGTTCTTTATTTGTCACATGCATAGTTATACAAGTATAACACACAGTGAAATGTAGCCTGACACGCTCCTCGACATGTGCAAAAATTGGGGAGGGGGGGGTGTAGAGGAAGAACATTATATATATATATACATACAAATAGTATATACACTGGGTGAATGTGCAGTAGTAGCAGTAGTATAGTAGTAGTAGTAGTAGTATACCCCCACACACCGGAGCTAACCACGTTCATTATGCGCACATTCCACTGGCTGATTCAGTGCTAAAGTTTGGCGTGGCACACGCTGGCTCCAGTCCATGAACCAAGTTTTTCTTTGTTCAATCAAAAGAATATTTGCGCAATAAAGCCAAACGACAAAAATGAATTGATCAAAACTTTATTTGGCCCACAAATAATTCATTGCTCCTAACTTGTCTCTGGCTTGAAACATTAACGTTATGTGCGCACATGCTCTCAGTGCTTATTGGTTATTTTAGAAAGCTTCATAAAACCGTTCAACAAACGAATGGCGACAGTGAATCTTCTCATGTCCACCAGCTGTAGCACCGATGTAATTCAGAGGGACACATGGTTTCCTTTAAAGATGGTCCAGGCTTCCCCCCTTATAAATGTGCCATTCATTTCCATTGTTAGTTTAATTCCTCGGGGTCCTCTCATAACATGCAGACAATAGTTTTTATTAGAACAGAGCAGATCCCCCAGCTAGTAGGAAATGTTTAGAAACGAAGAGAAGGCCTCTTTTACGCAGTGACTGTTTCACACACGGACAACGTGGAACAACCTGCCAGAAACCCCCCCCCCCCACACACCATGTTGCTGATATCCGCTCAGGCTGCAGATTCGTAGGTGACTTCTTCTTACATGTGCAGTTGCTATATTGGTTCACTCGGTTTTTAGCTTGACTTCCATAAATATGACACGCTTTTTGTTATTCTGCGCATATCCAATTATTCAGCGTCCTGTAACTGCACTGGCTGGTCAGTGTGGCAAAACAAATTCAGTACGTTTATGTTCTTCAGTGCCTGCTTTAACAACACTTGGAGGACTGCCTTGGCATGCATTCAGCAGAGACTCCCTCCGTAGATGGGCCTAGCTGCTGCTTCAAACCAGTCGGGTGTCATTCCTGCATCAGGCACAGCACAGAGCGCCTCGGGCCAAACGGCCTGCTAATTTTTTTTATTTTAGATGAGATGAGAAGGTTTACTTTTGTCAGCATTTAGGCGCTGAGCACTTTCTACAGCTTTGACATAACCGCCAGTGGGACTGTGATAATTCTGAGTCAGGGTTGTTTGAAAAAGATAAACATTATCCATGAGTCCAAATCTAGGCTAAACATGTCGCTCCCGTTACAGATTAAGAACTGCGTTTCTGGAAAAAGTCGCGATAGATGATGAGCTTTGTTCTTCAAGTGGCAGATTTGATGATCCTGAGCGTAAATGGTTAATGATTTTTCTTCGTTTCTAGCTGAGGGTGGGGCCCTAGAAGCAACTCAGCTGATGCAAGGCTGCCGTAGGAGTGATTGTTGGCATGAAAAATATTATTACTGTATAAAGTGTCCACATTAAATGTAGCCCTTATCCAAACACCAAGCCAAAGGGTGTAGAAGTAAGGATAATAATAATGACAACCTTTCTTTCTTTTTTTCACTTCACATTTTGTAACTTCTGGCCTGAACTCTCATAAAAGCAGAGCTGGGGTTTTCTTTGTCTCTCTGAGGGTTGGCTCGGGAAGGCTTAACAGAATAGTTCTCTGACAACCTCTACCGGTTTTTCCTGCAGATGCGCCCCAGGCTTCACGGGGACGAGCACACAAACTAAAACATGCAGTGAATTAGATTAAAGATGACGGACACTTTTTTTTTCTTTGCAGACTCACATCAACGAGTCATGAGAGGAAACGATGTTTATTCTCTCTCTCCCGAGATGATTTACTCTTTAATAACGTCTCTAATCTGGATTGACAGAAATGTAAGAAGGCGGTGACTCTCGCTCTCTCTCATGAGTGGGTGTGTCTTCGTGTCTGAACACGGCGTGCTCCAGTAGATAGACAGCTGCATTCACCTTTCTACCTGCCAGGTGAGACACGGAAAAGACAGTCAAGTCCTCGCAGTAAACCCGCTTCTTCACCAGTCTGAGAGGAGCTGAACGCGAGTGGTCCGCTGACCCTGCACGCCGGACAGGTGAGCTCATTTACCTGTAGACACACACCGTGCTGCTGTTTTGTTTGCGCAGTTATGCTAACCATTTAACCAACTGCCTTGCTGATCAGGATGTATGTAATCGTGTTTTTCCCCTCCCCAGTTTCCAGGTAAAAAAAAAAAACCCCAGACAATCAAAAACACCTGTTGCGTCCGGCTGACCTGCGATTATCAGCGCGACCCGCAGTGCTCAGTATCATTAACCGGGTACCAACACCTCGGTAGGCCCGCAGTTGTGAGCTCCGGCAGGTACAGGAAGAGCACCAAACGCCTGCCTCTGTCCGCAGAGAGATTCCCGCATGCAGAACTTGTGTTATCCGCACAGCTGGAAACTTTGCCTGGGAATTTCTGTGCTCAAATTTCAGTCATTGTTTCTGGTCGTGTGTGTAACTTCCCATCCCGGCCTTTAGCGCAGGGCTGCCTGCCACATGGTTTGGAGGGATTTCTGTAAATCATGTTTTAAATCTGGGCTGCATAATTGAACTATTCCAGCGTCACTGACTGTTACACGAGCAGAGTCAACATCAGTGTCGCCACTGTATCATTTGATTTAGCAGCACTACAACCCAACAGCTGCATGCTGGTGGGCCTGACCTCCTCACGCATCTGCTGTCCCAGCAGAGTCTGATCTCCAGAGGATTGTAGCGTTTCCTTTAAGACTGCCCAAACTGAAGCCGATCACAGGTTCACAGCAGCAGCCGCTTTTCTGGCTGTTCAGGTGTGCTTCCAGTAGTTCAGTTGTGACATATCCCATGGAGGGCATGGCAGTGTTGTTACCACTTGCAGACAAACCTTCAGTATTTCAGGTATGTTGGTGAACCAGCTCTGTTCTCAGAGGAAGGGTGTGACTGTACTTTAGAGTGGCAGAATTTAATTAAAACTGACAATAAAAGGCTACCTGCTGCTGGCACTAAATACTTCACATAAGGATGTTATCGCACACTGAGTACATGACTTTAGCATAATGAAAGGAAAAAGGATTGCTTGTTTCCCTATGCAGCAATACAAATAAAGCAGCACTTCCTGCTATACTGTGTCTTCCTTTCATTTAGCATGGCTGAAATCACCTAAGTGACACTAAAAACTGAAGAGGAGGAGTGATACGAACAGTCTCAGTTCAAACTGACTTTAAGTAGTAGGTGTAGTTTCTTGAAGTCTAAGGTTTTCAAGAGGACTCAAATCCAGAGGCTTTGAGCAGTTTCTGCCTTTGGAAACTCAAAACCTGTACTACAGGTAACTCTGTGGTTACATGTGCCAGGGTCAGAGGTCACTGAAGGCTTCAAACGTTCTGCATTACGGGTTCTCCCACATCAGGCGGGCCCCAGAGGGGGTGACTGCAGGTCGTCATGAGCAGAGGAGTGAAACTAAGGTCACTGAATATCTTGACCAATAAACTAATGTGACCTTTAACACTAACCCCCCCCCCCGTATTCTTATCAACTAAAGCTGTGGGATGAAGCGGGCATGTCAGGTGAGATGTGCTGAGTGGCCTACAGCTTCACAAACACGTATTCATGGTGTAAATGCTGATGCAATTTATTACATTTTGAGATGCTACAAGTAAAAGCAACTTAAATTCATTTTACTTTAAAAGTCCAACATGTTGATTCATGATTGGTAGATTGCATAAAGCCCTAAATCAAAGAAAACAGACAACACATGAAAGTAAAGTCATATCTGAAGCACAACATACACAAATACACATCACTGTGATCTGTACCCTCACCACCTGGAAGCACGTCCACTAGGTGGCGCTCTCATCAAAGAATAAATTAGGGAGACCCACCACAGTGGGTGCGCTAGCTCCGCTACAACCACAACTTTTAATCCCTCCAATTTGTAAAGTCCCTGAAAAACAACACGTATATGGCACATATCTCATTCTGTCAACAGCAAGTAGCACACACTGTAGTTCAATGACAGTTGCATGTTTGTTCAATGCACTACGAGAGAAGAGTTTCTGCTTACAGCACAGGGGCTTGTTCTCCACGCAGATTTATAATTTCAGCAACATTTATTACAAAGCAAAAACTCTACACAGCACCAAATGCTCAATGAGTGAGTCATTGTGTGGCAATCACAAACATTTCAGCAATGTGCTCTTCATTATCCGTTTTTTCCCCTCTCATAACCAAAAATATCAGGACCTGAAGAAATCTAAAACAAAACACTAGAATATCTCCTTTCTGCAAGCAGGAAGTATGAGACCGGACAGTCCTGGATGTGACAGCGGGGAAGCTTGGCCAATGAAAACTGAGGAAACAATGTGAGGAAAAAAGAAATTTACAAAAATAAATATAAAGCTCCCTTTCTCAATAAAGACAACGAGCAGGATACAAGTTTCATGGAGGGAGAACCGAACAGTTTCCACATGATTTGGTCGAATGTAAAAAACAAGAATGCAGATTTACACACAGCATCTGAGCATGAACTCAGGTTTGACACAGGCAACACATGCATTTCATTTGGTACTGGTTCTTTTATGGGCCAGCTGGAAATGACAAGCTCATATGAAATATTGGCAGAAGACTGAAATACTGTACAGCAGTATATGTGAGCACATATTTAGTTTCTACAGAGAGATTATTATTGGCTGTTTGCAGCTTTAGCCCTTTCTGATAATAAAGAGGGAGCCAGTTAATATTGATACAGAGCTGAGATGCATGTACACATCTGTACACTCTCAGTAAGCATGCACATAGAAACAGTGAGTCATATACAGTCATACCACTACAGTTTAAGAAAGACAGGGTTAAGTGGAAAAAAAAAAAAGTTCCCCTCACAAACAAAAAAACCCGCAAACACATCGAGCTGATCGATGTCCACGGATCGCCGCTAAGCTCCACCTCTTCTGCGCTGGAACAAGGTGGGAAACATATGAAAGCCAGAGCTACCAGCACCGAAATCAAGGCTTATTTCTTTGTTTTATAATTACAGCAAATAAAACAAAATATAATGCATCCCCTTCAGAGTCAAAGGCTGTGTGGCACATGGGCAGCCCTCACAGGGCCTCGCTGCACAGCACGGCGAGAACAGAGGCGCAGCACGCTGTAACAAAGAAGCTGCCACGTTGGTATCTAAGACACTGTAACAGCCACAGTGGACCAGACAGGCATGTCCCATGAAGAGTCTCGAGGAACTGTTACATCCAGCAGAGGCTTTAAGCCCTTTGATGGCACACAATGACCACAGCAGGGGGGCAGTTCCTTCATTTACACAGCAAAGAATCATGGGAGATTTCTTTTGGCTAGGCTTAATGTCACATCAGTTCAAAGAAATATGCAATCACATTTTACAGATCATTAAAAAAAAGATGAGTGTTTCTAGCACTCACACATCCACTTCCTCAACTTTGGAGGATATTAAAAAAAAAAAAAAAAATCCCACTGCCAACTCATGACTGTCCAAAGGATTCTGGCCAACAGAGTGTGAATGGGTGAAAATAAAAGATAAACACACAGGAGGACTGACAGCATGTGTGCGCACGGGCGAGAGCCTGAGTCACCGCTTGTGATAGGCACCTGAAAAAGATGGAAGAGACAGAAAATGAGCTCCATATACTGCAGTGTAGCGCTGCCACAAACGATTGATAGTCGACGTAATCGTGACTAGTTGACTAATCGTGGCCCTGCTGCAGTGCAATTTATGCTGCAGTGTTTATGAACTCAAGTTTTCCAAGGTAGCGTTCAGGAGTTTATTAATATGAGTGACGAGAAACCAGCTCTGGTCGAACTAAACGCCTTCAGCACTCTCACGTGTTCATGTAGGCAGTGCTAAGAAAATAAAGGGAGACGTTCCTATTTAGACATTTGGCCAAAACAAACCACTTGAAAGAAATGAAGATGTTCATTTTAACATTGATGATGTCAAAGATGAGGCCCGGGGACCAGAAGACTGGACATCTGGACAGCAATGAAAAATGTAAACTTTAGACTTAACTGGTTGTTTTCCTACTGATAAATGACCAAAGTAATCAAGTAAACTTTTTGTTTGTTCATTCCCAACTTCAAGCTTATTTGGATGCAAACAACATCGAGGAAAATACAGTCGGGTCTAAGCTTTAGCACAGAAACTGCATTACTGAGAGTCTTTAATGATCTTCTCTCAATCGCTGACTCGGGGCGCCCTGTGGTCTTAGCTTTGCTCGATTTGTCCTCTGCTTTTGATTTGGTGGACCATAATGTCCTTTTAATGAGGCTTAAGGTGGGCATCACGGGCAGTGCCCTTAGCTGGTTTAAATCCTATCAGAAAGGTCCTTTTCTGTCACCATGGGTACCTGCTCCTCCTCCATTGCCCCGGTCACCTCTGGTGTCCCCCTGGGGTCTGTACTGGGTCCTATGCTGTTCTCTTAATACTTGTTACCCTTGGGCCGAATCCTTGAAAAATACAATATTTCTTTCCACTTTTATGTGGATGACATTCAAATCCATTTTGAACTGGCTGAGGATGTCACGTCATCGTTGCAACACTTCTTCAATTGTATGAATGAAGTTAAAAACTGGCTGCTGAGCAATTCCCTCATTCTCAATGATAAGAAGATGGAAATTATAATCGTCGATAGTCAGGCTGAACTCAATGATGTATTTGGGCCCTTTGCTGACTCTTTCTGATACCCGGGTGTTGTCTTGGACAGTTCCTCTAAGCTGGACAAACACGTGTCCTCGGTAGTTGAATCCAGTTTCTATCAATCACGTCTAATCTCCAAGGCCAAGCCCTACATACCACGTAAGCACCTTGAAAAACGTATCCATGCCTTTGTTACATCCAGATTAGTTTACTGTAATTCCCTTTATGCTGGTCTCCATTCTGCCCTCGTTCAAAATGGGACTGGTAGGTTTGAGTCTATTACTCCGGTTCTTTCTGACCTGCACTGGCTTCCCATTAAAATCACATTGATTTTAAAATCTTATTGTTCACGTTTAAAATCATAAATAATACCACACCCAGCTATCTTACTGATCTCCTCAGCTTTTACACCCCTGGGGGAGCGCTTAGATCAGCAGGCCAAATGCTCCTGGTGTGACCTACATCTCGGCTCAACACCAGAGGTGACCGAGCATTCGCCTCTCTTGCACCCTACCTCTGGAATAATCTTCCTCAACCTATATCTGCGTGTTCGTAATGGCACTGTGTTTTATCGTTTTGCTCTGATTAAAGCTTATCGTGTTTAACCTTCAGCCTTTGGCTTGTGCCTACTGTATATTGCATAGTTATGTCTCCCACCTGTCAGTATATTTGTATCTGTAACTGCACTTAATTGATTCTGTGAAGCACTTTGGCACACCCCGGTTTTGAAATGTGCTATATAAATAAAAGAGATAAAAAAACAAAAACTTCTTAGTTAAATACTGTAGTATTACTAGTATATTTAGTTAATTAAACTTCTGAGCCAGTGTTGAGTCTGACAGCCTGATGTATTTCTATCTGCAGATTCAAAGTTAACTCTTCCTTTGCAGAACACACGCAGCCAGGAACGCTGGGAGAGACACGGCTATTAGCATCAAGCAGACTACAGTGCAAAAACACCAGTGTTGAAAAAGGGCAGCAGCTGCCTTGTTTAGGTTTTCATTTACCTCTGTAAGTTGGATCAGGTCTGGCTGGAGCGCGAGGGGCAGCAGGGTGATCTGGGTAGACGTAGCCAGGACTGACATTCTCATAGTCATGTGTGCGCGGCTGTGGAGGCCTGAAACACGTGCAAAACATTAATACATTTCTGCTTCTTTACAGACTGGACATTTCTTCTGGTGAGAGCCGTGTACCTCGGAGGCTTGTAGTTCTTCTGCCTTTGGTACTCGTACTCCTCTCGTGTCCTGGGCCGGACAACGTCCTCGGAGTTTGGCTGGAAACCAACAGAAATTATGGTTCTCGTCCCACAGAGGAAATACAGTCTTATATGGAAAAAGCACGCATGTTAAAAATATGCACGGTCATGGAAAATTACCCTGTAGTCTCCCTCTTGCCGCCTCCTCTCCACTGCCATCCTTTCCATGGCCAGCCTCTCCCGCTCCTTCTCTTTCTCCCATTCGCGATTCTTCCTGTACTCCTTTTTCTCCTGCTCCATCAGCAGTCGGGCGATTTCCTGGCAAAGCGAGGCGACTAGGTCATTTACCCCAGAATACGTCCTACATGTCACATGACATAACTCTACACAAGCGTCCCAGATGTCATCAGAGAACACCTGGTTCACACGAAGCAGCCAAAGCGACACCTCCAGTGCTGCAGAGCATCTTTGCACGTAACATTTATCCATGTTGGAGGAGGAGTTTCCACACACTCACCTCGTCTTGTGCCACTTGGGCTGCACGCACGTGCATCTGGCTCGCCTGAAACCAGAGAAAAGGTTACGTTCTCACACAGATGTTACGTGATGTTGGAAACACACAAGAAAAACACTTTCAGTTTGGTTTTTGACATCAAGGCTTCAAGTTCTTTACAGCTTTGATAACGGAGTCAAATGCTTTACTGTCATTGGCTGCTCTGGAGCCAATCACGTTTCATCATGTCAAATCAAATAATGCACAACAAAAAGACATTTATGGGCAGAGTTATTCAAACCTTTTCATTTCTTTACAAAACTGATTTCTAAACAAAGAAGAAGAAACTCAACCACACACAGACCGACAGACCTTTAACTTTGCTCTTTGCGCACACTGTTTGCTAACTATAAGCTAATGTGATTGTTCCCTGTACGTCACAGTGTGCGTGCACATATGGACAACACGTACTTCTCTTCTGGTTTCCTTCCTGACCTTAATTTCCTCCTCTTGCAGTTTCTTGGCCACCTCCAGGTCCTTCAGCTCTTGCTCGCGCAGATCGAGCTTGGTCAAACCCTTGGTGGCCTCACTCAGTCCGTACTCAGTCTCTGGCATTACTGACCCGCCGCCACGGTGCGCAATACGACCTGCAAAAGGCAAATCATGACTAACAGAGCAGGGCTGCGATGATTATTTATTAGGATTCGCTTCAGCAAAAGGAAATCTCATCTTAAAGGTGCAATTTACATAATTACAGAATAAAGTAAAGTTTGTATCGTTTTTCTTGATAAATTAAAATGATTTATGGATCAAAATCATTTGTCTGTTGAATGATCAATAATTTGATGCCACATTCACACAAAAATACATTCAGCAGCAGTTTGATCAAAGCCAATGCACCTTTAAAGGGCTGCAGTGCATCTCCACTGGTGTTGTTCGCTGTGTTTGGGTCATTTAAACCTGTGGCAGATCTCAAATCAGTTAAAACCATGAAATGGTAAAGTTTAGCTTGTTCAATTGACAAGAACACACAACCAGCTCTGAAGCCCTTTATCAAGGAAACATTTGAGCTTACAAAGCTCATCAAGCCATAAGAAAGCACACAGCACACGCCTCACTCCAAGCACAGAGACAAGAAAACTCCACACAAGGCGAAATAAATCATTGGCCTCAAACCTGAAATCACAAGATCGCTGATCATGAAAACAGTGAATCTAACGTGTGTGTTAGCGATCGCTGTTAGACTGACCCACCACCTCAGACTGCCACAGAAAGGTTTAGCACACCACACAGCCCCCCCGCAGAGCCCAGAGGGAGCTCGGGGTGATACCTGTCTCTCCGCTGGGTTGACTATGACTGCGTTCCCTGCCATGACCCTCCCCCTGCTGGAGGTCCCAGAACTCCCTGCTGTCTCCTCTGCCTTCATCGCCCCTATGATCTCCAAACAGCTCATTGGGGCTGGACTGGACACGGTGCCGTCCCCTGGTCCTCTCAAAATCCTCCTCTTCCCCCTCCCAGGAAGCCCTCCCTTCCCTCAGCCGGTCCCGGCTGTGTGCTGGCTCCACAAAGGCCTCTTCGAGTCCTCTCTCCCTGCTCCGGGTTCTCGCTCTTTGTCTTCCTTTATCTCGATGTCCGTGTCCCTCTAGCTCTCTGTCCAAACTTCGTCCTCTGTCTCTGGATCTTTCTCCGTCCCGCCCCTCTGCTCTTCCCCACCTGAGGTCCTGGTCTCTGTCCCTCCTCCGATCTCTGTCCCTCCTCTGGTCTCTTGCAGTATACCTCTCATATTCCGGTTCTCTGCCTCCGTCTCGGTCGTACTGCCTGTTCTGCTCTCTGACCCACGTTTTGTCCCTCTCTTTAGGAATTTGTACTGGAGGTGGTCTAGCTGGTCTCTCTTTCCTCCTCACCACTCTCTCTGTGTCCTCGTACCCTAAATCCCTGGCTCTGCCAGTCTGTGAGGGCTCGTGCTCTGGATACCTGTCCCCGTGCTTGCCCCTGTTGTGCATCAGGTGCTCAGGAAAAGGATCTGCGTGCCTGCTACGGCCTCCTTCTGCCAGCAGATAGCCCTCTGGGTATCTGGAGCGACCACGGGGTGCTGCAGCATCCAGTTTTGGGTGTCTGCTCCTTTTAGGTTCTGTTGAACTATAATCTGGAGAGTAATCTCGACGTGAGCTCACCGGAGCATCGTATCGCCAGGGGGACGTCGGTGTGTGATGTCTGGGTTTGTCCAAGTCTAGAGGTCTTCTTGCAGCTGAGCAAAGCAGAGTGAGAAGGCACGATGATGATGATGATGATGAGGATGATGATGATGGTGGTGGTTGATGAAAACAGGGAAAGTTAACAACAACAGACAGGTGTAATATAAGTCAAGACAGTTAGTGAGCACCGGGTTAGATACAGCACCTGTGAGGAGAGCAGTGGTTAGAAGAAAGAGGAAATGCAGAAGATGACATTAAATGACCCAAAACGTCCCGGCAGTTGTTACGGTTGGAAAATTAAAATGTTGCAAAGACAGCAACAGCGAGTGTTAGCCGCTATCAGACAGTCTGACTGGATATAAAGACACTCAGGACTCATGATGGGACATCAACCAGTATATGATGTTTTTAAATGGTTACAAATGGTCTGCTCCTCCATTGCACTCCACATGCCACTGCTTTTGTAAATACAGACGCTGCAGACACCAACAGAGCAAACTGATGATCTGAGCACTTCACCTTTAAGGAAACCTGTTTGTTGGGAGTCGACATGTGAAATGTTTGAATGAACACAAATGAAAGGAAACGCACAGCGAGGAACAAAGCTCAGGCCAGTCCTCGCCGCACTGCCAGTCAGTGCAATGGCATTCCAGTTATCCAGCCAGCAGCAGGGAGGTACGAGCAGAGCCTGACACCTGCTCAGACGCCCACGGGCATTCGCTGTTTGCTCACCTCGTCTCACTTTAAAAAATTTAAATATTCTCCTATTTTTAACCTTTTATTCTACCCTGACAGCTGTTCAGTGACGAGAAGCAACATGTTTTTGTAGTCAGAGAGAGAGACTGTGACATCATCACAGTCACAGGTGCAAACGCCCAGTGGTGACGTTACAGGTGAGTAGTTACATAAGTTCTCACAGTCTGCAGTCGATACAGAGAACAAGCAGGTGGACTGACAGCGAGAGGCTCGCCCATCCCCGTCTGCGCCGACGAAGGGCGGCTCTGCGCCGACAAACACCAACACGGAAACTATTCAAATCAGCTTCCGTGACAGTTTAAATGAACAAACGAGCACAAGATAAAAATCACTCACGAGCACTTTAAGTAGAAACTGTGTGTGTGTTGAATTTTTGCAGAGCACCAAATTGCTAGAAAACCAGACTGATTTTTCTTCTGTTGACTAAAAGGAAAAAAGAGATTTTCCTCTGTGACACCACTGTAGAGGTTTAGTGTTCTGAGTCAATCTCAGAAACAAAACACCCAAAAGGGTTGAAATGGCAAAGCTGGTAGTCAGCATGTCACATTAGATTTAGCAGCTGCAGAGAGAAAAGCTGAGCTTTTATTAGGAACAGGAAATTTACTTCCTCCCACACTCACAACTGTGGTTCAAGACCTGCGACCGCACTCATGCCTCAACAAGACGCAATAAGAAACGGCCGCAGCGCTTCAGGCACAGAAGCAATCGTGATGACATTTTGGATTAGGACTTGCAGCAAAGCTTCAATTTTTCAACATGAAACATAAAATTGTGACACTGAGCTGCTAACACGTTTTAGAAGCCCCAAAAAACACTAAAAACATGTTGTTTTTTTTTAAAAATACATCAGGAGTAAATCTAAAATTGCTCCTAATTCACTAAATGCCAACTCTGGTACAAAAGGCTCAATCAGCGCTCTGCACTGGGAGTAAAAGGACGAGTTATTTCTCTGCAGGAACACGCAAGCCTTCCTTCAGGGTTAATTATGTGCTTATAAATGCATTCCACAATCTTCAAGTCAGCAACAATCGCCATGAGTGTTAGAGACTTGCCCACCGCACTCAAAGCTGGAGACAAAACCAAATCCGGCACAGAAACTGAGACCGATCACCTCCCGTGGCCTTACTCATGACTTTATATTCTTCTGTGAAAAGCTGTGAGAATTATTCTTTAATCCTTGAAAGAGTAGTTGTCAAACAGCTAACAGATCATCTGCAGAGGTTTATTTGAAGAGTTTC